GCGGATATGTGAGAGGGCCTTGAACTAAATGCTCTGTAGAGCTAAAGACAACTTAGATCACACCCTATAAGTGCACAACATATAGAAACCACAGCAAATTATGTCACAGATACTTTCAGAACTAAATAACAATATAACTGACATTACACCCTAAAACAGTGTGAGCGGGCCTTTAACAGTACATATTATAAACTCAACAGACTGTACATAAAATAGCTTATAAGTTATAATTATGACAGTGACAGCATTGATGAACTATTGGACTAGATGCTTAAAATATATATAGTGATTTTGAGATAGAATTTACTTATGCTAACCGTATTATATGCCTTCCAGGTACAAATTCTTGGATAATAAAATTAATACATGGTTTCAAGATGGAGTATGAGAAAATATACATTATCCTTAGCCTTAAATTAGTAATAAAAATATTAACAGTCATAACAGTGACTGGAAGATAAAGACTAAACAAACCTTATGAATAAATTTTCACAAATTTGGGAATCAAAAATTACAAATTACACAGAAAACGAAAGCAATGTCAAATGTGCATCTTACAAATTGTGTGGAGGTTTGATAGTTAGAGTGTCTGTTAGTGCTCTAAATGATACTTTTTAATTTTTTTAAATAGAGTGGGGAGTGGAGGGGGACAAGTCGCCAGTGAAAATCATTTTGTTAAACAAGTCATCTGAGAAAGTCTTATTTCAAATTTTATACTTGCGCTTGCAGGATACATATTTGAACACGCAATTAAGAAATTATCTGTCATCTTAGCAATAAAACAAAACACGACTATGATGATATTTTTGAAACTGACATTATATTCACGAATACCTTGTAAACCTGTTCGATAATTTTCTAACCAACAACAAATTTTAATCAAATACAGTCTTAGAGACAGTGATGTACGCTAACCATGTGACGAAAGCGCCAACCACAAGTGATACGATATTTGGTCATACCACCAGAAATGGTGTATAACGTTTTCAATAATTCTACGAGCAGAAAGGGCTCGTCACAAATTGAAAAATCAAAAGTAATTGGCTAACAAAATATGTTATTATATGTTTGGACGTATGAAAATATAATCTCTGCTAATTTTGCCTAAATAACGATGATGAGTTGAAGAGCAAAGAACACTTCCGAACTGTTTTATTCAGAGTCGAATACCCATTTGCTGATCAAGAATCGTCATGCGCAAATTTACAATTAATTAGGACTACAATATGCCCATAGAAGAAAAAAATTGATGAAAATTTGATTCTTTATCAATGTCCACATAGAACATGAAGTAATAGTGTTCATACAAATATTTTATACGTATTACCACAAAGAGGCAAAGTCGCGCAATAATGCTTAAGAAATAGGGACGTTTACACCTGATGACGTCACCAACAAAATTCTTTGATATCACCAACTTTTAATTTCATATCAAAGATAAAACTGTCTACTATTGTTATGTATGGATTTGAAACGATTTCTCACAATGCAATTGTTCTTAAATGGGCTTTTAAAGTTTGGGACCGTTAAATCAGACCGACGGGTTCAATAGACAAAACGTTACAAACACATTGTAACGTTATAACAGAGTTACTCGTTCAGTAGACAAAACAATACGCGACGTTGCTACAGAGTGACTCGTTCAGTAGATAATGATAATAGTAGACTATGAAACTATTGCAACGTTACCTATTGGTTTTATCTTTTGTCTACTGAAAGAGTCACTCCACATTATAATTTGGTCGTATATTGTCGTCCGTCCGTCCACAATAGACTTTATCTAATATTAATGAAATTTGGTGTGATCATTTATATTGATATCTTGGACAAGTTCGAATTTAACGATCTTTCGATGAACTGTTTTAGAGTTATTGCCCTTGACTTAGGAAAAACGCCCCGAAATTTGTTTGTGAACACAATAGAGACCACAGATTTCATCCGATTTAAATGTGATCATTTAGAATGATGAGATCTTCCAATTCAACGATCTTTCGATGTATTTGAGTTATTTCCCTTGACTTAATAAAACACATCCAAATTTGTTGGTATGTGAATGTGATTGAGGTGACAGTTTATGTCCGAATTTTATTGAATTTTGAATGTTTCATCGCCCTTGTATACTGAATATGTATCAGGAAAGTGGGCGTATCTTGCTAGGCAACCATTTGTTTATGGTTGTATCTACTGAACAAGTCGCTCTGTTGAAATGTTTTATCTACTGAATAGGTCACTCTGTTGAAACGTCACAAAACCACGAAAAAGCGAGTAACATCACAACAGCGCAACTTGGCCAGTAGACAAAACTGCGTGACCTTACAACCGAGTAACTCGTTTAGACAACTATTAAACAATAGGCAACGTTGCTATAGAGTGACTCGTTCAGTAGAAAAACGACGAAACAACGACATAGTGATTTGTTCAGTAGACAAATCCATAAAAAAACATTACGTAGACTTTCTTTACATAATCAGCAAATCTCCAATAAGGAATCAAGCACTTACTAGTTGTTGTGTGCCCCCACGAGAGGTTGTACAGCAGGCGTGCAAAGGGCCATTTTTCTGTCCGTCAACTGCATTGACATCGGCATCTGTAACAGATGATAGAAAAAAAAGCTCGAAGTTCTGACATGAAGTCGGTTTATTTGAATATTTGTTTCTATTTTAAGGGATATTCCGGTTTTTTTTGTAGTCAGAAAATTTCTTTTGCTCAAACTTGTTAAAACTATACACCAAAATCAAGAGAAATGTGCCCTGTAACGTATCTGAAAGATTTAACGAAAAAAAATCCAGCAGCTTATTTTTAACGCCTAAAATATTTGAAAACATAAAGGCTAGTGCACACGAGAGCTCCCAACTGAGCAAAGTTGCATTCGTGTCTCCCAGCTCAGCTCGCAGCTTTCGTCTGTTTCCCCCGCACACGCTGCTCAGAGTTTTCGTAAACGGGGTGTGGTGTCATAGACGTCTAAAAAATAACTAGAGCACGTGACATTCTCACGTGACTTAAACAAAATGTTGGACGTCGACAAGCCTTCGAATGATTCAGAATTTGAAGAAATTATACTTCTTCTTTTTTTGTTGCGTCGTCGCCGACGAAGAATGCTTGCAAGCTCTCGTAAGCTACGGATATTCTGGCCATATGTCCACTAACTTGTCTTCGATAATTGCTTCAGATACAAACTCGCATTCACCGATGGGCGCAGCCATTTTTGTTTGATCACGAGCTAGCGCATGCGCCAAAGTTGAAAGCTAAGAGCTTACGAGTGCGCGCACACGGTAAGGTATTTTTCATTCGAGGAAAAAATTATCAAACACGACTGATAATTTCCTTAACGCCTCGGATGAAAAAAACCTTACTTAAACTTCGCGCACACGAGAGCTACGAGCTGAGCTGAGAGGTACGAATTAAATTTTGCTCAGCTGGGAGCTTCGTGTGCGTAGCCATTATGCAAGGGTTTTTATGTTCGTTATGCATTTTGGAAGCTGTTTGAAAGCATAAAATTTAAGTAAAATAAATATTCTAAAGGTTTCAACAATAATATCGAGCCATTATCTATAATGCTCAACACCAAAACTATTAGTACTCTCAGTTTTAATTACCCCTATTAAAACAAATCAGTTCGATCTAGAAGATGCATATATATAATAGCATAGGCCTACTGATACTTTAGTAATATTTTCAGGTATAATTTACGACGGTTTTGATACTGAAAACTTTTTACAAAAAAGCGGAATAGCCCTTTAACGACCAATTTTAGCCCTGTCATCTCAATAGTATGTCGAGCTGTCACCATACGATTCTGTAATTTTACTCAACACTAGGTTTTATTTTGCCTCCCTTTTTTACTATGCTTAATCTTCTGATTACTTAATGCCACTTTTATCATAAAATGCTTCCGCATGGATTCAGGCGTTTGCCACATTTTTTTCTTATCATAATAAATATTGTGCTCCATCCCCTTCCTTTAAATTGGAGAAATGTATTTCATCAGTTACGTCACTTGAACCATAGATACGCTATATCCCAAACTATCAACCGTTCTTCGAGCCCAGTTTTTACGCCCACATTTTAATGGTCGCCCCTGTTTGTCCGTCGTTCCACAACTTGCATGTGAACACTATAGAGACTACAGTTTTCATCCGATTTAAATGAAATCTAGTGTGATCATCTATTACATGAGATCTTGGCCAAGTTTGAATTTGACGATTTTTCAATGAATGGAATTCGACTTATTGCCCTTGACTTAATAAAATACATAAAAAGTTGTTGGCAGTTTATGTCCAAATTTTATGAAATTTTGCGTTTGATTAAATCAACAATATCTTATATAGGCACAGCTTTATGGAACAACAATCACTGGTTAAAGTTTTATGCAACGTTTCGACGTGTTTCCCCCGTCGTACTCAGGCATGTGCCTATATATCGTACTCACAATTGCTAAATGCCATTCAAAGACTTTATTCAACAATATCATGTACAAAATAGATTTTTGGTAGATTTGACACTGATTGGCGAACGCCTTTGATATACTGAACATTTATCAGGGAAGTGAGCGGAACTGGCACGTGGCTGTACACGAACGTAAGCTCTTAACTTGCACCTACTTCGGAAGTGGCGTAAAACCTTGTTTGTATTTATTTATTGCGAGCGAATGTAAGCGCGTTACTCCCAACACTGGGGTATCGCCAACAATTGGTAGAGTGGAGTGGCTCTCCCAGGTTGTCCTATTCAATGGGTAAGAGTTATCATGAATCAATGAATCTTTCAATTAATACCTATATCGCTCCGAAAGGAGTTACCGTTCCATCCAATGTGTAGACGAAAGTATCAAATAACCAGCCGCCCAACCGGAAGTTAAAAATATAAACATTGCTAAAAGGACGGATTGGATTTGGAATATGAACTGCTAGTAATTACACTGGATTAAATAGTTTAACTTGTTTTATTTTTTTGTGTATTACGTGATGCACAATAATCTCACTGAAGTTTGTGAAAATAAAAATCTAAAGATCAATTGACTTACTTTTCCCAATTAAGAGCTGTACAGATTCCAAATATCCCTCTATAGCAGCTAACAAAAGTGGCGTGAAGCCATTCAGGTTTTTGCTGTTTACATCTGCGTTTCCCTACAAATTAGATATGAAGTTACCAAAATATATAGATCAAAACGAGAGAGGGCTAATCGCCGACATCTGGATAGAAAACCATTTTGGTCGTATTATTACATGTTATGTATATATTGCAAGTTGTATTATTTGTCAATATTCTATCAAATCGAATATCAAATGCAATATGTTCGTCTACAATTCAATAAAAATATTTCTCATACATATATAATATATATAGAAAAACGGGTTATATATATATACTTTTAAACATTACTAATATTTAAATGATTATACCTTTTCAATCAGGAGTTTAGCGCAGTCTGTATGGTTGTTCGCTGCAGCAATATGCAGAGCTGTAAATCCATCCGGTCTCTTAACGTTTACCAGCGACTTATGTTCATCTAATATTTTACCCACGGCACTTTGAGAGAAAACAGAGAACATAAGAAGCCGAAATAATAATAAAAAAAATTGGGTTGGAAATCAAAATGGGAAGATAAGGTTTCTTCGCAGTTTCAAATAGACAATAGACAATTTTTTTGACAAAAAAATGATAAAAAACTTTTGTGGAATCTAGAAAACTTACATTGCTTGGCCTTTTAAAGCGGCGTAATGTAAAATGTTGAAAGCCCTTTTATTGACTATTCCGGGGTTAGTTATTTTACATAGAACAGCTACCGCGTCTTTACTTCCAGTTGCTATAGCATCATGAAGTGCAGTATCCCCATCAGAATCCTACAGAAGAAAAATGAGGGTGGAGATTGGGGAACATTATTTTGTCACTTTTATTCAATTTGAATTTCGTTTTATGGTTTGAATGTATAAACCATCCACTAACCATCCGAACCACAAAACGAAACTCGAAATCCAAAACAACATTTTGAAGAAACATTGGTAGCAGCTAATGAAATTGTCATGAAGTATGTCAATCATAAGTGAGTAAGTATTTTATAATGAAAAGTGTTATCAGATGTCTGGAAGAGTAAGCATACTCTTGCGCCACACCCGTCATAGCTGCTTAACATATGACTTTTGATACTGTTGTATTAGATTGTAATGATAACAATGATAATTCGAGGATGATGATGCTTGATGAGGTTACAGCGACGACGAGGATGTGATGATTGGTGACGCTACCATCAAGCCTGGAGGCATACCTGTAAATTAACATCACAACCCTTACTGATAATCATCTCCATCAAACTACTGTAATTAGCAGCTGCTGCGATGTGTAGAGCGGTTCTGCCATTATTATTGACAATATTCACGTTACCACCTCTTTCAATCAGCAACTTTCCAATTTCTGGCTTTCCGCTGAAAAAGACAAAAACACTGCTTTAACTCAAACAGCGTATTGTCCTCACAATTTGCCATATCGTTTTCTGATACCAGGTGCTATCAACCAATGTATTTTGCTGGTGGTGGATGTTGCATGCTGATTGTTGCATTAACCAGATACCAGTTGCTCTGAACCCATGTAAGTTGTGGGTGATAGGTGGTGCATGCTGATTCAACTTAGAGAAGGGGTTCAGGGAAATGTCATTTTTGTTCGATTTAATGGTTGATAGTCCATCCGGTTGGTGCTGTGATTGTTGCTAATGCTGATTCTAATTACTTACCCGACAACAGAAGCTATCAATGGGGTGTTGCCAACCTTATCAACTTTATCAATATCAGCTCCTTCTTTCAACAGTTCTAATACAATTTCATGGTATCCTGTATTACTGGCTATACATAGTGGAGTCAATCCTTGGTGTAGAGTGTTCACCTGAAACCAAAATATGAGAAGCGGTGGTGTGGAGTGTCCGGCATGAATGCCCTCGAACCAGAGAAACAGTTTCTACTTACCGATCCTGGACTATCTGTCAGTGCTTTACGAACCATGCTTATATTATTTTGAATTATTGCAACAAACAGGGCCTTAGCCAATCCTCTTGCCATCATCATGTTCATAAGTGCGTCATTCAAAGCTACAACAAACAGAATTAAGCTCGACATGCTATTTCGAAAATGAAAAAAAAAAAATACAGAATAGTCCTGTTTGACACATATCTGTTAGCTTCCATGTTGATTTACGTTATCCGCCACTAAATAACATAAGTTTTTGCTAAAGAAAATGTTTGTGTAGAAGGTTATGAGCCTTCGGACTGTAGTCTACCAGAAAAAAGTTACATATTCCTTGACCATTATTGTTTCTATGATCTGACATTACTAGACTGTTGCAACTGAGAGCTAGATGATAACGGTGTTTCTATCTCCGAATGTTGTTAATCTCAATATACCTGATTGATTGAGTGTTATGTTTTCTGAATCATCATCATCAGTGCTCTTTTCATAAACTTCCTCGCCAGGAGCTGGCAAGCAACACATCGGATTGTAAACGAACCACCTGCGTCCAAATTTAACATAAAGGTCACCATCTGAATCAACCTTAATGACTTGGCCAACTTTACCCAAATACTACAACAAAATAAAATCTGGAATAAGTAAAGTAACCAACCAAAAATAAATGAAAAAAACATTTGTCTTCATTAGAGAAAATCGAGCTTGATGCAGAGAAATTAGCAGAAATTTGTTCAGACGCAATGCTTGAGGGGACAGGTGCATTTGAATTTTACTCACTATTTCTATATATGCCTTTTCTATATATTACAGTCATTAACATCATTCAAAGGCTCAAATTTCGACGGCGAGATGTGAACACTTACTGATAGGCTCAGTTGAGACTAAAGTATGATTGGTTAAAAAGAATGGCGCACCTGCCCCTTAAAGCAATAAAAATTGAAGAATAAGTGTAAAAACAGACGTGTTTCATCTTTTCGTTATAACCACCATGGCCGTCCTGAAGGTTTTTGACTTTTCCTTCATCATCCAGAATTCGAACAAAATCTCCTTTGAATATTTCTTTATTTACATTCATCTTCTTAACTGAAAATTCCCCATTTGAGAAATTGAATACTTAGTAAAGAATTTTTGAGGAATTTGGGAATTCCAAAAAACAGGTCACTGGTTGTTCGAGAATATTCACTATCCATTCATTAGCGTAATTGACACATATAAATAGGACTAGGTAGTTCTTTTTCATTTTAAAAATACTTCCTTGTTTAATCATGTTTATATTTAGACAAAGATTAATGAATTGATAACTAGGTTGTTTAAAAGAGTATATTGTTGGTTGTAAGGAAAGCACATCCCACAAAACAGAAATGTCAAAACCAGTGATGGCTGCAGAACTTTGGATTGCGAGGGGATACGCCAGATTTTGTGGGAATCCGTTCTGGAGGGGAACAGAGGGGTGGGAGTACGTGAAAATACAGGACTTCGCCTAACCAGTTGTCAAAACTGTTGAAATTCCCAATAAGTAAGGTGTATACCATATAATATGAAGATGATAACGTAAATTGTTGAAACGTTGTGTAAAATACAACCCATGAATAGAATGAAACGTAGTGTAAAATAAAAACCAGCAGTAGTATATCATATAAAATTGTGATAACAATGTAAATTGTAAAAACGTTGTGTACCATAAATGATGGCAGAGTAAGTAGTTGTGTAAAATTCTGTTATAAGAATATCTGTTGACAATATATATGAATTGAATACAGCAAACAGAACTGTTTCGACTATCTGATCCTTCTTTTTAAACTCAATATTTTTTAGGGAGGGATCAAAATAAGATATCCTTGGCGCAGGTTTGGATCTGAATCTTTTTCTTCAGAGGTACAAACTTGCTTTCTGAATGTATGAAACGACTGATACAAATGATTCTTACCTGCAATGATTAGGTGACTTGTTAGATACCACCCATAAAACACAATGTATAACGGTTACCGTTATACAAGTATTCTTCTTTGTTATCTAAAAATATTCCCTCGCCTCGTTAAAATAAGATCTAAATTTTATTCATTATGAATATATTATGGGAAACTCAATCATTGGAATTCCCTGTAATCAATCTATATCGTGTAATATTCGTGAAAGTAGATAGAAAGATGACAGTTAACGTTCCTAATTTTTATTTCATTCTGACCTTTTTGTACTCTTTGTAGTCGGCCTGCGAACGTTGGAGATGAGAATTGTGCAGCCCTATATTTTTATTGAAAATCTCCGAATGTAGCTATCGTATTAATTTGTTGGGTTTTATTCAATGAAATATGGCGTTTCCGTTGGGCAGGTATTCACAGATTGGCCAGTGGGGAAATCTTTCGATGTTGTTTCGCCAATTTTGTGACCAATCGTATATTAGTCAAAGAAACGGGAATTATTTTATCAAGCCAACCAGTAAAAGTGTTTTCAGCTCACCGTCAAAATTTTAGCAATCAACTCCACGTGTCCAGAATTATCCATGTATGAAAGTATGAATGACGATACACCTGTCAAAGTCGCCATATAGATAAAACAGGAAATGGAGTTTTAAGTCAATGTGTCCATTCTAATTGAGTGTAAGCATTTCAAACCTATAAGATCAGAGCACTACTGTGCTGTCTCTTTATTTCATCTTTTTGCGCAACCTTCTCTATATGAGAAGGTTGTGGCTTTTGTTAAAAGCAAGCAGGTCTTTATTTTAAATTTTAAATAGATTAGTCATTGTTTGTTTTCAATATTTTGTTTGTTTTTAATACCATCATGTGGTGTATTACCTGTGATATTGTTTTTAGTGTTTTTTTTGTCATTAAATGACTTTTTCTGTGATATTGATAGGTGTTTTATTGTTTCAGTTTTTTCATTATTTTAACGTATTCTGGAGCTATATAGCCCGTTTGGTGCTGATGCTCCTTAATGCATTTCATTTCATTTTAAGTCAATGTGTCAGCCCCCCTGACTTCAGATGTTCAAAAAGTGAGCATGAATCGTAAAATTATCAAATTAAAAATGACATTTCTTTAACGGTTTACGACAAAATCATGCAATATAGACATTACATAATGATAATTTGATAACATCTAGGTTCAAAGGGATAACACATAATTAGCAGCAAAACACAGACAAAAGCATATTAATCCTAGAAACAATTCAGCAATAATATAACAAGAAAAACACTAAAATCAACCTCCACTGGTTTCCAGAAACCAACAACATTTATTTGTTACCTAAAGTAGTAAATCTTGATTATCTTCGCAATTTAGTCATATATCTTTTGTGATCAACATAATTCTTCGCTATAGAATTGTGTTGATCATAGAAGCAATTTCGTTGAAAATGGGCTCTTGAAAAATAGCATAATGCTTAGGATTATTCAGTTGATGCTCCGCTTCTGACATAAAATTCTCTCGATTCAAAATGACACCTGAACCTTTATCACTCACCTTGATAACTATGGTATTGTCTTTCTTCATAAGGTTCAAGGTTGATAAGGTCGACTCTTGTCAAATTAAGATTCTCGTGAGGAATTTTTCAGTATTTAGGGATATAAGGCAGTCTTGGGTGGATTCCATGTGGATTTGGGAATAAACATCGTTTTAGCACAACATGGAGGGTGGTTTCGAAAAAAAAGCTAAGATTACGTTGGAATGGTTCGATAGACGGCTGTAGGTTATCAAGCTTGGCTACCATAGGTATTGGGATAAACAATAATCCACGGTGTATGATTGAATGTTGAATAGAGAAGTTTATATTATATATGTGCATTACATTGTAAATTAGTAATTAAACTGAAATGTATACGTTTGAGTGACCTACATTATAAAAGGACCTGATACAATAAGGTATTTTGTCAACCACCACTTGAATAAAAGTTGTAAATAGGGCATAACACGACAAAAGCTATTTCTAGACATTGAATAGACTTTATATCAAAATTGAAATTGAAACACGTGACGTGATTATTCGTGGAAATTGAACTTACTCTGTGTTAATAATAACAATGGATAATGGATAATAGTTTAAAATGGTAGATAGCTGGGGACCTATATATTATTGTCATTATGAGAGGCGGAATAGAAACCGTAATTGTCAACAGATTGCTTCTTCATCAAACCTCAAGTTAATTGTTTAAAAATAAAAAAGCGACGCCATCGTAATTTGCCCACATTTGTAATGGCAGCTAATTTGGCCGTGAGGTTGACAAGAGTTCTCAGTAAATGAATGTTTCTGAGAGTGAAATTTTCATATTTCATGGGTTTTGTTCATAGCTTTTTTTTTTATTCAAGTGGGATTAATTTAAACATGTCAAGTCTCATTTAATGCGTCAGGCAGACAGACAGGGGTGACGGCTATATAGGGTTTATCCTTGGGTGATTACAAACACTCACGCTAAGTTACGTCAAAATCCATCAAGAAACCAGCTCTCTATCGTGTCTACAAACAATTCAAAAATAAGTCATAGTAAATATGTTCTCGATTCGTCTGATTTTCAATAGGGTTCATCCTTGGTTGCTTGCAAACACTCACACCAAGTTTCGTCAAAATTCATCAAGAAACCAGCTCTCTATCGTGTCCACAAACAATTCAAGAATAACTCATTGTTCAAAAACAATTGTGGACGGACAAACAGGGGCGAAGTCTAAAGAATCAGAATAAAAGTTGACCAAAACTGAAGATAAAATTATGGGAGATATTAAAAATTAACATAGAATCTGGAGAAGAATATGCTGTCTTTAACAGAAGATTGTGATTAGCAAATTTTAGTTTCACTTGAGAAAATAAAAGGGCTAGAAGCATTGTGTAAATATGTGGAAGTTATACCATCAGTGGTTCAGTATCTTGAATATCGATGATGACAGTAAAACAGTAAGTGATACAGTAGATGATGAGCGATTAGTGGTTGGTGGGATCATATCATCTGGGCTGAACTCACAGATATTAACCATGGTTATTTAAATGTCAACGATCAGTTTGTGATTCAATTTGATGTTACACAGATCAGAGACAAAGCTTATTCCACTTTTCAAACTAATATCCCTCGGTCAATCCTCTTTCCTCATTTTTATACGCCCACATAAAATGGGGGGGCGTATATTGCCGTCACCCATGTCCGTCCGTCGGTCCGTCCGTCCACAATTGCTAGTAAACACTCTACAAGCAAAATACTTGACGGATTTTGACAAAACTTGGTATGAGTGTTCGTAATCACCCAAGGATGAACCCTTTTGACAATTAGAAGAATCAAAATATATTTAGTTTATGTTATTGCCCTTGTTCTTGAAAACGCGTTCAATTTTTAGCTCGTAAACACTCTAGAAGGAACAATTCTTGATGGATTTTAACGAAACTTGGCATGGGTGTTCTTGAAAACGCGTTCAATTTTTAGCTCGTAAACATTCTAGAAGGTACAATTCTTGGTGGATTTTGACGAAACTTGACATGAGTGTTTGTTATCAACCATGGATAAATAATTAGTATGAGTTATTGCCCTTGATATTGTAAACGCGTTAAATTTTTAGCTCGTAATCACTCTAGATGGCACAATTGTTGACAGATTTTGATGAAACTTGAAGTGAATGTTCGTAATCACCTAAGGATGAACCCTATTGAAAATCAGATTAATTGAAAAATATTTAGTATGAGTTATTGCCCTTGTTCTGGAAAATGCTTTCAAATTTAGCTCTTAATCACTAAAAGGCATGATTTTCACTGGATTTTGACAAAACTTGGTTTCAATATTCAGTCCCGCGCTGAAGATTGAATATTTGCCTTCTAGAGATTTCACGAGCTAAAAATTGATCAATATTATTCAGTATTGCCCTAAAGAGTTCAAAAGAAGTGTATGACTGAAGGTTGAATCTAAACATTGACTAGCGTAGTCAATATAATACTTGTTCTCATACACTGTAAGTTGTTACAATATTAATTCATGGACTGATTATTAGATAATATGAGAGCTCATGGTCAAAATTCCACTTTTGATACAGAAACCAAAATAGAAAAACACTTATAATTTTTTTTAATTTGTGAAATGTCGTGTGCAAAATAGATTGAACAAGAGTCACATTTCGAAAAGGTTCAGTGAGTGGTTATATCCATATTAAAACAATGAATGCTACTTTATGGTTGGAAAATATGTGAAAGAGTATACAGAAAAGTTACCAACCAGTAATGTTGGGGAAACAAATTTAAAAATTTGCCATTTTCGTCACATATTTTTACTAGGATATGGCTTTATTTTGTCATTTTTCAAAACCCCCGCATTTAAAAGTTCCACGGATCGATAAGTGGTACTAATATACATGGAGCATACACATGGTAATTTTGCTAATCGCAAACGAGATAATTTACTTGATATGGATTTTCACGAATTTCGAAATCCATGGAATATGTAGAGCCAATGACTGAGGAACAAAAGCTTGCTTTCAACAATTATACCATGTCAACATAATGGATGCAATGGATTGATGGTTCACAAAGCCTCAAAACGCTGTCCAGGTGGAGACATTTTACAATGCACAGAAAACAGAGATCATACAAAGTCAAACAGGACAAATTCATTGTTTGAAAAAATACATATATCAGTTCAAGATGTTATGCACATTGTGAAAGCATATTTGGATAACTGCCGTTAATTGGGTCTCATTTATTCGAGAAATGTTTAAGGAACATTTTCAAAGAAATACCAAAGGAAAAACATTAAGGGCATAATTGAAATTGATGAAAGTTTGTTTGGACGACGCGTAAACATCATCGCGGTGATTGAAATAAAGGAGTTAAGGTATGTCCTAGTTACATTTGTAAAAATAAGATTTTAACATATTTACATACCAATTCTGTATAGATTTATTTTGTAAATATAACACAACAAAAATGAATAATTATCAATAAATATAAAACAAAATAAATGAATATTAATTATCAAAAAATAAATGAATATTAATTATTAAAAAAATATTTCAGGTATGGATATTCGGAATGGTTGAAAGAGACACAAATACAATCATATTATACCCAGTCAGCGACAGAACCAAGGAAAATGGAAAAACACATTTAAAAGGGCTCTACCATATACAGCTACGGTTGGTCGTCTTACTGCTCATTAAGAAATTGGCAATCAACATTTTACAGCTACACATACATATTCATTTACAAAAATTTATATCAATACAAGTAGGCAGGAAGAAATTACCATCAATACTAACAGAATCGAAGGGGCATGGAAACATGCTAAAGATCATTTCAAAAGAATATCAATAAGACCACAATGAGTACCAAAATGACACAATTTGAAGGTCACTTAGCAGAAGTTAAGTGGAGGTCAGAAATACGTGGTGGGTGTACATATGAACGTTTTGGGATTTGGCAAAAAGCGTTTACACACTAGATCGAGCCCCGCATTACCATTATACAACCACATTGTTTTACAGTTGGACTATGGAATCTATTGCAGATTTTGATATTATGCATGAATTCTGAAGAATATTTTAGATGCTACCTTACCAATTGTTATCTGCTCGAGTTAGAGCCTCAACCAGTTTGAGCTAGAGCCTCAACCAGTTTGTGAGCTCTGTCAGGTTCGCTTGATTGAGTGTTTGATAAGTTTTTGTTTTTTAATACCACTTTGTTGTAAACTGTGATATTGTATATATTGTTTTTTATATAACCCTTTTTGAATCGTTGTATATTTATCTATTGTGTTTTACCTTTTTAGTTTTCATTTAGACCAATGTTTTTTGATAGTTTTTATGTGCTAAATATCCCGTTTTAAAGCTGGTGCACCTTAATACATTTCATTTCATCACTAAGATGCAATAGAATGTGACAATTTCAAACATATCCAATTATCTCATTACAAATATTCACAGTTCCATGCAATGAGGTGGTTAACATTTATTGATAGATATTTTGCCATTTTTAGGGAAATTGTCTATGATATTTTATTTTCAAACATCGAACTTTGATTTTTGTAAACTTAAACCAGCAGTTCAAATGACAGTGGATGGACTAAAAGGCTTTTTTGTCAAAACTGAATGAATTTATGATTGGTAAAATTATTTATACAAACAACCAGAATTTAAATGCTAATCGAAAAAAAAACGTAATGTTAGTGAAAATCTTGATGGGTTTGAGAACGAGAATTTTTATCAAGTTTTACTGAAAATTGCCTCAACCAAAAGACATATTATATTGACTTCGTTCACAAAAACGTATGTTCAAAAAATAGATGACAACTTGATGTCAAGGTTTGTGGAAGTTGATATTATTAATAGCATATCAGTCTTAGTTCCATCAAACATTATTAGACATAATACATATACCAAATATGGTTACGAAGACATTTTGTTATTAGCTGTTAAATTTGCCACAATTTTGATATTGACAGTAATTTGTAATATAGAATATGGACAGTATAAAAGGTTATGTATTAGTGCATATCAAGACCATGGTGGAATGAAACCCTAGGCCTATATTGGAATGACGTGTGTGTGTGTGTCAGAAAAACAATGGTTAAGGGACAAGTCAGTAAATAAGAAAACATGTATATCTTTTGACAGTTATAAAACCAAATGTAAAAGATGTGCGGAAGGCGAAGCGACAACATTGGTACATGGAACAAAATAATCTTCAGGAGCTTACTTCAAAGAACCGTCCCGGTAAAATTGGCATTAGGGGAAGCGAACATCCATACTAAATAATTACTGAGAGTGGTGATATCGTAATTTATTTCAAAAAGATATTCACAAATAAAAAATCTTAATATATGGCAGCTGTCAATCAATAATCGCCTACTTTTGGTCTGTACTATCAACCAATCAAAACAAAACAGATATTCTAAAAAAAAAAAACTCATACATTTACTTTATTCACAAAAATAGCACAAAATGACCACATAGACTTACGTAATATAAATCAATAACTTGAATTTTAAAACCTAAAGAGGAAATAAAAAATGTTAGCTCAAAAGCGTATGTACAGCAGTTCAAAATATGATCAATTAATTAATAAAGTATAAATCTGTTTTTTTATTAATGTCTTTTTATTAGAAAGGTACTGTAGAATCTTATCTGGGTCACTGAGCTATAATTTATTGTGCTTGAGCTTTTAGATATTTTTACGATAATTTGAAAGTTCATTATTAAGTCACTATAACCTTTGTTGGCATTTCAGACACCTTGTATTAGGTGTATGTTACCTTGTTTGGCAAGCTATCTTTTATACTGCATGCAGCTGGATTGGAATAATTTAAAAGATGGTGAAGAGTTCAGGTCTTTTCCATTCTGGTAGTCATGTACAACCAAGTTGGTCAGCCGACACTTTACGTTTGAATTTAACACGAGCAATGTTTGGTCTCGCCAGATTTAGATGTCTTCTGACTTACTTGTAGACGTTTGCTTATCCAGAGGAATGTCGAACATTCTTAAAGATTGTCTTGTCTTTCCGGTCTTCATAGACAGAAGTTTCTTTGATCTAAAAAAGAAACCAAAATCATTCGTGATGAAATTTCAGGTAACTAGTTATTTGTTCAGTAATAATGCCCAAATTGAGCTTGTGTATTGCTTTTGACATGCCAAAAAATCAGACCAATCGATAAATATTTAGTATGGGTTATTGCCCTAAAAAGGCTCGTAAACACTCTAGAACAGGCCTGTTCGACCTACGGCCCGCGGCGTCATGTAAAATTTGAGGGAAATGTGGCCCGCAAGCAAATGTGTCGTTTGCTCTTGTCACTGTGGCGCGCAGATTGTCGCTGCCTATTCTGATATCGACACCCGTTACATATTGTTATATCAAATTATGACGTCAAAGTGAATTTAACCAATCTAATCGTTTATGAGGTCTGGCCTTCTCTTATCTGCGCCACTATCTCATATCGGACTTTTTTATCGTGAAAATCTTGACAGTTTCCCCAATCTCAAGAGATTTTCTTGCGTCAAAAATGGCATTATTCGGCTCCACTTATCTCTGCGAACAATCTCAGCAAAATGGGATTCATGATGAACCGTGGCCTGCTGTTGCGGAAAGGTTGCACAGGCCTGCTCTAGAAGGAACAATTTTGATTTGGTGAAACTGGATGTGAGTGTTTGTAATCACCCAAGGATGAACCCTATTGAAATTCGGAAAATTCGAAAAATATCAAGTATGAGTTAATGCCCATGTTCTTGAAAACGTGTTACAACCAACCATACCATATTTCGTCAAAATCAGTCAAGAATTGTCCCTTGTACGAGTGTTTCCGAGCAATTGTGGATGGACGGACGTGGGTGACGGCAATATACGCCCCCATTTGACGTGGGCATATACAAATGGCTACTTTTTATATTTAAATACAATAGGCGGTATGATTTTTTTTACCAGAATCTGGTGCCTGTACTTGAATGAATTGAGGTAAAACAAAAAATCACATAATTAATCACCGAACATTTTCCATTGCTCAATTTTCCTAAAACTTCATTGTTCCAGATCTAGCATCATTCGAGTAATCTCATGCTTTGATATGAACAGAATCTGGACACTTTTCAGAAATAATTTTTTAACTTTATCTGTCTACCTGCTCATTTGTGGAGGATATATGTAAACAATCATCCTCTATATTAGTACTTCGTATCATTTCAATATCTGAGTTCAACGTTAATGTAGATCGAGAAACGATTAATCTAAAGTAACGTAATCGGAACCTTAAAATGAATTTAGCTTCCCAGATAAGCTATTTAGTTGAGACGCATTTAAAATTTCTAAGAAGGCAAGTACAAGAATGAAAAAAAGAACGTTATCACAACTTATCTGCGTATGTTCACCTTTTAAAAGCGGACAAAAATATGAGTCAACACTTTTTATAGTATTTGGAATATCTAAAATCATAAATAAGAGAGGGGTGCTGCTGTGCCAATTACAGACTTTTGCTTACAAGCTTACAGCACTGGGGATCCAAAAGCCTCTTTATAAGGTCTCATGACACGCTCGGGCTGTCCTCCGTTCTAGTTATCAGCTGTCGGCGGAAAAACACCAGGTTAAAATCTATATAACATAGAAACAGCATAGTTTCGTGTTTCGAATTCATAAGAATAACACAATAATGTTTATATATAGTTAACAGCTGTCGGCGGAAGTAAATATCAACAACATGATTTTGTGTTTGCGCTCAGTAGATGTAATAATTTTACCAACGCTTTATCTGATCGTCTATATATAGCCACACATATTATACCTGTTAACATACCTAATAATCAATTCAATATGGTTAATGCTAATCTGGTGTTAGTAGTGGTTATGTTATCGGCGGCCAGCCCTCAACACCAACCCAACATGATGAGAAGGATTTGGGGAACATCTGGCGAGTTTGGGGTAACAATTTAGGCTCTGTGTACAGTGCTGAAATATCATTAATATGGAACATTAAATCCATCTAGTTATCAATTGGAATAATTTTTTAATGAATGACCTTTTTTCTTCTCTGTGAGTTCTCTACTTGAATCGTGAAAGAGCTAAAGTAATTGTTTTGATTTGTATGAACACTGAATTAGAGACATTGCTTTAAGATTGTTATATTGCAGTGTATTGTAATGAGTATGATCTACCAGAGAAAGCTGAATGGATACCAAGAGCGAGCTGTGAGGAAAATAAGCGGTTCGCATGCAAAAGCGGTTACCAATTACAAATCCAAACTTCCTGTAAAGAAAATGGTAAATGGTATTTGGAACCATCATGTCAAGGTAATATACCAACTTGTTATATATCGAATCTCAAGCGTCAGTATTTTAAACACACAATATCGACTCAAATTCATGTAGTGTTGGTCCTGTTTCCATGATATATAACTTTAATGTTTTAACATATTCTTAAAGATATTGAAGGTTTAATGGCTCAAATTCTAATTTTTATACGCCCACATGGAAATGTAGACGTTTATTGCCGTCGCCCCTGTCCGTCCGCCCGTTCATATTTCTCGTAGGCTACATTTTTTTTATCCGATCTTGATGAAAGTATGTATAAATTTATGAGATCTCGGTCCAGTTCGAAATTGGTATAAATTAGATGACCGGTTTCTGAGTTATTGCCCTTGACCTAGAAAAACACGTCAAATTTGACTTGTAGGCACAATAGCGACTACATGTTTTATCTGATATTGATGAAACTTGGTATGCATGTATATATTGATGAGATCTCGGCCAAGTTCGAAATAAGTGATGATTGGACGACCAGTTTCGGAGTTATTGCCCTTGATTTATTAAAAATTTGTCAAATTCGGCTCGCAGGCACGATATAGTTTACAGTTTTGAAAGTTATTGCGTGAACTTTCAAGTTTTTGTCTTGAATTATAGATGTCTTTAAGATATTTGAAAAGTCATTATTAAGCCACTAAAGATTTTGTTATCATTTCTGACAGCTGGTAGTGGGCGTATGTTACCTTGCCTGGCAAGCTATCTTTTATTTATTTTTTTATCCCACATTGATGAGGCTTTAATAGTCAGAATGTGCTATATTCTCCTCTTTTAATGATATATGGCATGGGCAGATAAACAATACTTCAAATAATTAGATTTGGTAAAATTGAAGGAACAATATTTCAAATAATTAGATTTTGTAAAATTAAAGGTCCAATTGCCATCGGTCTCGTGTCACTCTCAGCACCATCTACAGTTCTGGTATATATATTTCAGATTGTTACAAGTATTCAAATGTTACATATTTGGTACCCGATCCGATTGATACTATACCAGCATCCGATCAGGAGGAATGTGATGAACTGTGTAAAAACAATACCCAGTGTACCTATTCAGGGAGATCCAGAGATACCCGTTGTTTTCTGTTTTCAACCCCAGTCATCTTTGTATCTTCCTCTACAGATCTAGACCAATGTATCAAAAAGTGTACAGAGACAAATGAATGTGTAACGATGAGTAGTAAGGGAACTAGAGAAAAATTATGCTTTTTATTTAATGTTTCCCTGAACAAGATACCTGATAAATTTAAAAATGGTATCGGATATACCATAGCCGAAAAAGTATGTTAATAAAAACATGTATATCATGAAATAACTCTTTACTTTCTTTCTTTACTTGAGGCTAAAAACTGAAGTTGTTTTGGGTGGGCGCATGGGCATTAATGGTAAAATTTCGTCTAACTTCAGAGTTGTTAAGACTGTAAACGTAAATATCAGTAGTGTGCCATGAAAAGGTGTATGAAGGGGCGATTCGGATATAAATCTAATGGTTTGCGGTCATCCATTAACCCAGCAGTATTATTGATATATTTAGACAAACAGATAACATTCGTAGAAAGACAAAATCGGCAATCTGGTATGGTATTTATCTCTGCACTCATACTAAATCCCATGTAATAAAAGTTACCTATAGGAAGATTGCTTTTTCGCCCCTTTAAACCCCTTAATGGTGTCAGGTTGATAAAGGGCAGAAAACTGGATGTTCCTAAGCTATTTTAATAGGCTGATATTCATATCATCGCCAAGTCGCTGTTTTTTTTGTAGGAGATATCTCGTCTAAAGGTTATATTATATCAGAGTTTGATTTAGAGATCATAGATTTCGTAAAAAACAGGCTTAATGTTTGTGACATGTACGATACAACAAAAATAAATCTATTAAGATTTATCGTCAAAATACATACATCTGATTTAGTATCACGGGTTTTATAAGGAATTCGAAAATGTGGCATGTACAATATCGGCTGGGTGCCCTGACTAGGATTCGAAACAAAACCCAAAGCAGTGCGTGCAATATACAGATATAGCTAAAATGATTTGTTTGATGTTATAGTTTTTATATGGGTGGTGAAGAAGTTTTGTTTGTATGTTTATCTCAGTTAAGATATTTGTGGTGGTTCGTCGATAGTTACTTTGTGGCTGGGATTGATGGGTAACGTATCCGAACCAGTATTTCAGTAGAGCCATCCAGGGGTAGGTATATTCTGTAGCTGTGGTGAGTTTATTAATGATATGCAGATGATAAGCTACGGTTTTATTTTGTATGTTTGGTATTTGGAGGCCACTCTGGTCGAGTGGCAACATAAGTGTTTTACGTTGGATTGCTTCTGGGTTGCCAGCCCATAAGGAGTTGAAAATGATTTTCATACAGTATGAGTATCCTTATTTCATCGATAATTTTAAAGATGAAAGTTCAATTCACGGGTTCCGTCTTTCATGTAGAAAAGTGCTTGATATCTGTTTGTGCCATGGATCAGGTGGTCATGCAATTCTCCAGACAAAATCGGTATCTGACGTGAAGTTCGTCGTCATGCAATTGTACAATATTGACTTGCACACACTAAAGATTTAGCAGCTGATTTGCAAAAGGTCCTGCCACTATGCATGATTATAAATCATGTATTTTATCTCCAGATTAGTGGTATTTAATGAAACCTTGGCTAAAATATCTGCGGAAGATGTCGCAGTTCGTCGTAAATTATTTCCAGGAAATTCTCATCTTTAAGCCGATTTGGCTTATGCTCTATAGCAACATGTTTTAGTGCCTCACAAAGATTTTTGTAACAGACATTCAGAAAAATAATAACTTGAAACACAGTTCAACACGCATACGCATCGAATATGCTTTTAGCATTCTGAAAGGGGGATTCAGGCGGCTGAAATATATTGACATGCATTATGCTCTGCATAATATATGTCTGCATAATATATGTCTACACAATTAGACGTCTACAGCAGAGAGTATCTGAAAAAGGCTTAGTTGAAGAAGATGCTGGTGATGAAAATGCGAATTTTGGTATTTTTCCTCAACTAAATGGTGAACAAATACGCGATGTTATCAGCCTACTGCTTTTTATGTAACCTATTTGAATAAACTTGAGTAAAGAAATCATTTTGTTTTCTTTCTTCAAGAAAATGTTAAATGTGAACCACGGGTTTAGTATTATTGCATCCACGAATATACTGTTTGCGGATGGCAGGTAGTCAAATATTCGTATTTTTATTTAGAATTATTCTGTAATTAGTAATTAATGAAATCACGTCCTAACATTCCACTTTGAGTAATTCTGAAGAATCAGATTCTGACAGCATGGCTGAAGATTGCCAGTTTTCGTACTTGTTTTCAATTTGATACACGTTTTTCACAAATTTCACTAGCGACAATCAGGCTTGCTGTATCTTTTTTTTCCAACTGATTTTAATGAAATTTGGTTTTCGGGGAAGGGAGGGTTTGATTCTCCCAAATGTACAGGCCTAGGGTGGAGCAGACACTTTATTTAGAAATTAGGATTAAGGGTCTTGATATTGGGTGTTCTTCTGTTCTTATTGAATCAGGCTTGCTGTATCTTTTTTTTCCCACTGATTTTAATGAAATTTGGTGTTATCATTTATATTGATTCTTTTACATAAATACATATTTTCTTACATACACACATATACATGCACGTACATATTATATTTATAGTTCTTGCATTATTTGGTAGGTATTTGAACATTATATAATAATAAAAAAAGGGATAAAAATTACTCAATATATCTATACAAAGGAAATAGTATTGGAATAAACAAATAAATAGGCATAAAAAAAAAAACAGAGGAATAACAATTTTGAAAAAAGACCCATTTGTTTTGTAAATTTCTATCAATATTTGTTTCAATTTCGGCCGTCTCCTTTGAAAAGGATCTGAATTTACTTATATGTATATTGTATCCCAATTTTTTTGTTATAAAGACAAATAGTTTGGTTAATAAGATTAAGTGATTTAAAAAGGTAAATGATTCTATTGATTGTCCCTGTTCTTTGTGTAAAATTCCTAAATGCTTTATTTTTGAAGAGAGTGAAATATTGAAGTTGTTGAAAATAAATATTTTGTCGATTTCATTCCAAAGTAACTGGGTTTCAGGACAAAAAATAAAAAGATGATTCGTTGTTTCTATAGCACTGTTACAAAAATGACAAACTGGATTCTGCAATGTTCATTTTGACAAGTTAATTATTGATAAAAATTATTCTGTGTTTTACGTCGTTTTCGCTGAAATCAATGTCAAAGTCATCCTCCCATTTGTATAAACAAGGAGGTTTATATTTTTGTGCTGTATCTTTGCTAGTGGCTTTTGTTATAGACATCATTCTCTCTATTACGAATTTTTCGGTTATTCGGTTAGCAATTTATTCTTTGGTATTAAACGAGGCTCCTCTTTTCACATTGCACCAAAATAGTCAAATTTTAGGTCGTTGTTTCTCGTCTTTCGAGCGTCCTCTATGTTGCTAGTCAAATTCAATCTATTCAAAAATTATTTCAAGAATATGGTGTTGGTTTCACGTCTAGTTTGTTTTCAACAGAATAAAACTTTCTGTCCCATTTATTATACAACGTCAAGATGGCCACTTGATGTCATGGTAACTAAGATTCATGATGACATAATTGGATGATGTATTGATGATCAAAAACTATATAAAAAGACACAACATATCACTATATGTCGACAAAGCGCATACAAATTAGGAATTATGCCAAATTGACGCCATTTTGGATTCAAGATCATTATATGTGCTAGTTTGTTTTCAACAGAGCAAAACTTCTTGTCTCATTTAATATACAACACCAAGATGGCCGCTTCACATCAAGGTAACTTACATTCATGATGACATCATAATTGGATGATGTATTGATGGTCAAAAAATATATAAAGACACATCATATCACTATATACCGAGAAGAGCATAAAAAGTAGGAATTATGCCTATTTAACGCCATTTTGGTCGCCAAAACCCTGATGAACTGTCTTTGAAAACTTGCCTGCACCAAGTCAAATAATTGTCACCCAGAACCAAGTGTGAGACAAAGATTGAATTAAAGCAACTTTCTATAATTAGTGTACATGAAAGTAGAAGAAACACGCCTTACTTCAACATGGTATCACAGACCGATAGAAATGACTTTCATAATGCTGTTTTCTATATGAATACATACAACACAGTATATGTAATGAAACAATTGTTATCAGCATCGGAAAAGAGAAAGCCAATCAAACTGAAATAAGCCACCAAATCAATAAGCAATCCACCTTATCATGATAGAAAATGTAAAGTATTAGATTATTTCTGTTGACGTAATCACATGAAAATGTCCCAATATAATTATATTCAAACAGTGTTGTCTATGTTTTTTTCTATTGCCCTACACATATTAATAATAGTTTCACAACATGATTTTGTATTGTCACTAATATTAATTGATTTGCATCGTACATTTTTGTAAAGTAACGAAATTAATAAATCAGGAACGATGAGTGCCGGTGGACCTGTAAGGCTTCAAAGCTCCAGATGCTACTAGAAATCAGCACCTTCGCATAAATCAAACGCAAATTCTTGATACACCAGCTAGTTTATTAAATGAAACAGTCCTACAGACAGTTATATTATTGCAGAGAAACCACATCCTCGTTTACTCGTTTGCACAGGCAAATGAAAAATGTTATAATCAGTTCGTGATATAAACCCAGGTAAGTGTTTATTAACACAAACAAATTGAGGACAGCAGAAAATCAAGAATGACGAGGTATTTTTTACCAAGTGAAGACATGACGAACCAGGGGCTCCGTTTCTCAAAAAATCTTACGATCAGTCGTAGGTCTAAGTGTAGATTTGATCGTAAATGGCGTTTCTCAAAAAATCGTAAGATCAAATTTATCGTAAGTTTACAACTAATTCTGGTGTAAACTTAATAGTGGTCAAAGCTGTCGTAACTATCAGGTGGTAGAACCAAATGGTCTTTTTTCACAATGTTTAACTGTATTTAATGGGAAAAAGGAAAATTCCACATCAGATTTGATCCCGAAGTGTCTTTGACTGAGCAGGAAATTGTCAAGTGGCACTGACCACCTTCTCGTTTTTTTGTCTTCGTCTCAGTTGAAAGCCGCCATTTTTTCGCTTCGGCGATGACATCAAAACGGCGATAACGTCATCATTAAGTTTCATTGACTGTGGAAATCAAAATTTACGAGCGCTTTGAATTGCAATGAACAATTTCGCCTCGTCCGTATAAATCGTCCACTTGAAAATGGTCTTGCCAAAATAAGCCTACATACT